GATGGACGCAGGGGGATGTTGGAGGGGGGAAGGGAGAGAGGAGCATGGACACCCACAGGATGAAGAGGGGAGAATACCGTCGGCGGCGGCATAAGCAGCACGGTCGGCCGTCCGGAGGAGGTGTACCACAAGCTCAGCGGTTGGGTCGAGAGCAAGCTTCGCATCCTGACCAGACAGCTGGACGTCTACGACGGCGGAGCCATCTTGGCGGCACGCCGAGGGGGGAGGACCAGGGTGCCGGTCTTCTCAAGAAGCAGGGCACTTCTCAGACTGCCTCCTGCCTTCGGAGAGGCCCTCTTCAGAGCCTTCTTGGAAGGGGCCAGCCCATTCTCCCGTTTTTAGGGAGCCCTCTGCATTCTCAGAAGGTCGCCATCCCTCGTCCCGCCTCCGCTTGCGCGCCGCCAGCCATCAGCGGGCTTGTCATACGCCCGAACCCCGAGCGGTATGATCTCGGTGGCACCGACGCCGACTGGCGGCTAGGCTGTGGAATCTTCTTCGCGCTTTCTTTTTTCAAGGACCAGGGTGCTTTCCTGTCGCAGACAGTCGACTTGCGACCAGCCTTGTCGCAGTTTGTGGACGTCATTAGCCAGTGGTCGGAGAAGGACTCTTACGTGGGCCAGTTCCTCATCAGGATGCGCAGGAGCCCATGCCTCCCTTCCTCTCGTCTCCTCGCCTCGTCATCCTTTCCTGCCTCTTCCCACCTCGAGGACAAGGACGAGGACAAGCATGGAGATGATGAAGACTGTGAGGAGGGATAAGGGATGCGGGACAGAGGAGGAGGGGGGAGGAAGATGAAGGAGGAGTGGGAGGAAGAGTGGGGAGGAGTGCTACATGGAAGCGTACCGAGGATACGTACCGAGGATGATAATACGTAGGGATGGGCAGGAGGGTGGGAAGGAAAGAGAGGGTCTCTCCTCACTTCCTGATGCCTTCCTCCCACTCCTCCTCGTCGTCCTCCCTCCCCTCCTCCCCTTTTCCCCCTCTCCCCCACTTTCCTCGTCTTCCGTGCCGCGAGTCGCCGCCCCTTGCCCCCCCCCCCGTGCACGGACTCTGGTGTTACTCCTCCCACCTCTGAGCCTCTAAGTGCTGCTACAGCCTGCTCACGGTCCTTCCTTACTCAGGTATCTGTAAACATGATCAACCCACGAACCCGGAACGGGATTCAGAGTTGCAAGGCGTGGAACTTGCCCAAGGCAGTTCAGACGGACGAACGAAGGGCGGTGGCAATACCGAAGCTGCCGACGGTGATGGTATGGTGCCATTGTGCCAGGGGATGCGCTGTGCTGCGCTGCGCCGTGCTTTGCCGTGCAGCGACGTGCCGGGGGGGCGCGGCCAGGGGGCGCGCCAGGTTGGACGCGCCGCGGGGCATGCCAGGGGGGGCGCGCCGCGGCACCTCCCGAGGGGCGCGCCAGGGGACGCCGTCGCCAGGGACGTGCCAGGAGGAGGAGGAGGAGGAGGAGGGAGGAGGAGGAGGAGGATGAGGAGGAGGAGGAGGAGAGGATAGGAGGAGGGAGGAGGAGGAGGAGGAGGAGGAGGAGGAGGAGGAGGAGGAGGAGGAGAGGAGGGAGGAGGAGGAGGAGGAGGAGGAGGAGGTGGAGGAGGAGGAGGAGGAGGAGGAGGAGGAGGAGGAGGAGGAGGAGGGAGGAGGAGGAGGAGGGATGCACCGGGATGTGCCAGGGGGGCGCGCCACGGAATGTGCCAGCAGACGTGCCAGGGGACGCGCCAGGGGGCGCGCCGCGCGACGTGCCAGGAAGACCAGCCACAGGACGCGCCACAGAACATGGCAAGGAACGCTCCCGACGACGCGCCGGGGCGCTGGTCTCGTTTGAACCCGGTCGCGCTCGAAGCGTGCCAGACGCAGGACCTCATCGAGCGTCAAGATCCGATTCAGTCTGGGGCTTAACGCACGGGATCCAGGAAATGTGGTTCCATGAATCTCGCCCGTCCTCTTACCCCACTCCTCCGCCTCCTCCTCCTCCTCCTCCTCTTCTCTCCCTCCTTATACGTATCCTCATTCTCCTTCTCCTCCTCCCATCCTCATCCTTCTCCTGCTCCTCCTCGTCCTGCTCCCACTCCTCCTCATCCTCATCCTCGTCTCCATCCTGATCCTCATTCACCACCTCCTCCTCCTCCTCCTCAACACGCTCATCCGCACCGTCATCAGCATTCCTCCACCTCTGCCTCCTCCTCCTCCTCCTCCCTCTCCTCCTTATCATCATCATCATCATCATCATCATCATCATCATCATCATCATCATCATCATTATCATCATTATCATCATTATCATCATCAACTTTATTTTCATCATAATCACCATCATCATCACCGTCACCATAACCATCACCATCATAACCATCACCATCTCCATCATCATCATCATCATCATCATCACCATTATCATCACCATTATCATCATCATACTCATCCCCCTCCTCATCCTCATCCTCATTCTCGTCCTCGTCCTCGTCCTCGTCATACTCGTTCTCATCCTCATCCTCATCCTCATCATCATCACATCATCACCATCATCATGGTCATCATGGTCATCGTCGTCGTCGTCATCGTCATCGTCATCGTCCTCGTCCTCGTCCTCATCCTCATCCTCATCCCCACCCTCATCCTCCTCACCATCACCATCACCACCACCATCATCACCATCACCATCACCATCCGCATCACCATCACCATCACCATCACCATCACCAGCACCATCATCATCATCATCATCATCATCATCATCATAATCATCATCATCATCATTATCATCATTATCATCATTATCATCATCAACTTTATTTTCATCATAATCACCATCATCATCACCGTCACCATAACCATCACCATCATAACCATCACCATCTCCATCATCATCATCATCATCATCATCATCACCATTATCATCACCCATCATACTCATCCCCCTCCTCATCCTCATCCTCATTCTCGTCCTCGTCCTCGTCCTCGTCATACTCGTTCTCATCCTCATCCTCATCCTCATCATCATCACATCATCACCATCATCATGGTCATCATGGTCATCGTCATCGTCGTCGTCGTCATCGTCATCGCCATCGTCCTCGTCCTCGTCCTCATCCTCATCCTCATCCCCACCCTCATCCTCCTCACCATCACCATCACCACCACCATCATCACCATCACCATCACCATCCGCATCACCATCACCATCACCATCACCATCACCATCACCATCATCATCATCATCATCATCATCATCATCATCATCATCATCATCATAATCATAATCATAATCATCATCATCAGCATCATCATCATCATCATCATCATCATCGCCATCATTACCATCATCATCAAACGACATTATCATCAGCATCATAACCATCATCATCATCAGCATCATCAGCATCATCAGCATCATCAGCATCATCATCATCATCATTCTCATCATCATCACTCCTGTTTCTCCCCGAAGCCAGTCGGAAGGGCGGGCTGGGCGTTTCGCTTGACACGTCCTCATTATTTTCGAGCCTGACGCTGAAACATTGGCAACAGTGTCACAGGTGCAGGGCGGGTCGCTTCCAAGATTTCCGCCTTAGCGCCGCGCATATTCGTCTTGATAATGTGCAAGAGCTTCACGGTTTAAGGGTGCTTGGTTTTCAACATGTGGATATCGCCTTAATACCGCGCACATTCGTTTTAAACAGTTGCAAGAGATGCGCGGATTCGGGACAGGCCGTTTTCGAACTGTGACTCTCGCCTTAGCGCCGCACACGTTCGTTAAAACAATTGGAGGGCGTTTCACGGATTAAGGGCGGGTGGTTTTCAAATTGTGGTTCTCGCCTTATCGCCGCGCACATTCGTCTTACATCTTTGCAAGGAGTTTGACGGCTTGAGGGCAGGTGGTTTTCAACATGTCGCTGTCGCCTTAGTGCCGCGCAGATTCGTTTCACCCATTTGCAAGAGTTTCATCATTAATTTTTCATGCCTAACGTACCAGAGACTGTTTTGGAACGATTCAGGGCTGTCAGGGTCCTTCAGCTCCACTTGGGGGTGGCGCCAACGGGGGGGCGAAAGTTGAACGCGCTTGCTGGTGCGAGATCGTCTTTTTGTTTCTCGGAAGGCGGCCTGCGCATGTGAAATTTTCCCCATAAGTTTCGCCCATGCGGCAGTTTGAAAACGCCTCGATGTCGCTCTGGGTTGGCTTTGCGTGTGACTGAACCGGTTTGGGCCTGGCTTTTCTACGTCTGGACACGCCATTGCGATTGTGCGCTTTGGAAAAAGACCGGCGGGATCAATATCTTCTTTGCTCTGGGTCAAGGGGCAGATGTTTTCGGAAGCGGTTTTTGGTGGCCATCCCCCAAATTGTTTGTTGCCAGCGTCGCCTCTCTCAACCATCTTGTGGCTTGAGGTCCTCGTTTCGAAGAGGGTGCACCGCGTTCCTTCCTCCTCACATCCTCGCCCCCTTCTCCCATGCGTCTCCCGCACACAGGACAACGTTTCGGGGCTCTGTAGGGGTCTCCGCCGAAGGCCCCAGTGGCTCCACTCTACGGCTCCGTTGTGCCAACTTGGTTTTGCGTGGCGCCCCTCCCGATGGGAGATTCCATTGTTGTTACGCATCGTTGCGCAATTAAGTGCGTTTGGTTGTGTTTTGAGCGGCCTCCTGCTGTCTCAGCAGCGGTTTGGTTGCCCCCCCCGCTTCCGCCACCCCCAATTGGATCTGCATGACAGGGCGCAGCGGTTACGTTGATTCGCGGTGTTGAAGTCTCAGAAATGGTGCCGGCACGGTTCAGGATCGTCAAGACGCAACAGTTCGGTTGAATCGTTGCGTTGAAGTCCCGAGAATTGTGTTTTGGCACGCTTCAGGACTTTCACAGGGTTGTCTCCCAACGGGGCTTTCAGTGGAAATGAATTCTTGTAGGGGCCTATGAAAAGGGATTTGGGAGAGAGGTGTATTCTAACATCGTTGATGAGTTCTGGATTTGCGCTGGACCTAATCCTCCTCGTCATCCTGAACGTCCTCATCCCCATCCACATCCTCATCCTCATTCTCATCAACATGCTCATCCTCAGCCCCATCATCATATTCCGCCTCATCCTCATCCCAATCCTCACCCTCGTTCGCATCTTCAGCATCCTACCCATCCTCAACGTCGTCCTACTTGACCCTCGTCACTCTCCTCATCCCCGTCGTCCGCATCCTCGTCATCAGCCTCAGGGCAATCTATAATTATAAACATGGACACCACGTTAGATACCCCCACTGGGGTGGCCTGAACACGTGAAAGCACGTGGTTCTAGCTTGGAACCACCATGCTACCCAGTTGTGTGGTCTGGTCACGTAAATCATGAAGGATTCGAGGCCCAGGAGAGGGGCAAATCTATGGGAACATGTAAAACGGGCGGGGAATTTAAATCCCGTGGGCGGCCAGGACACGTAAAACATTCGTTTCGCTCGAGACATCCTCGACAAGGTCTGCAGAACAGACGTTTCGCTGGAGAC